CCCCAAAACCCCAAAACCCCAAAACCCCAAAACCCCAAAACCCCGAGTTAAACTGTGGCAATTGAGTATAGTTAATCTATGTAATAATAAATTACTCATTAAATTATGTAGCTTTCTTTTTAATCGTCTTCTTTTTCTTCTTCCCTGTCCCGTTCATACCACTCCGAGGGCTCGATCCCCTCATCTTCTTTTTCTTCCTTCCACCTGAGGGATTAGAAGAATGAGCTGATAATGAATTGTAATCCGAGCCCGCTTTTGATGACTTCTTGTCATCTTTTATGTTAAGTTTATCGAAAGCAATCAACTCATCTTCTTCATTATTTCTTTTCCTCTTCCTGTTCTTGTTCTAACTTGGATTCCTCAATTGATTTTAAAATTTCTTCATCTTGCATCTCCATCCACTTATGATTCTGGAGATCGAACATGCTAAGCCTTTTATCAGAATCCTTGTTTAACACTTTAATGAGAAGATCCTTCAGCTCTTTGGAGATGGTCTTCTTGTCTTTAAATGAAGGTTTCTTTTTGATAATGCAGTTTATTATTTCATCCTCAGTATCCCCGTAGAAAGGCAGTTTTCCATAAATCATTGTGTAAAGCATCACCCCAAGAGCCCATATATCAATGCCTGGTCCTGCTTCTAATTTTTCTCCGCTTAATACTTCGGGAGGCATGTAAGAAAGAGTGCCAGAATCCGTTTTCTCTTTCTCTTGAGGTTTACAAACTCCTGCTATTCCAAAATCAACAATCTTGATAATCATACCCCCTTTTTCCTTAAATAAGACATTTTCTAGCTTAAGGTCTCTGTGGATTAAGCCTCTGTTGTGTCAGTAACTCATGGCGCTGCAGATCTGCTGAAATATAAACCTCGCGTATATTTCGTCCATGTCCTTCATCTCCTCGACCCGGTCTTTGAGTTCTCCACCGCCTGCATACTCCATGATCAAAATGACTTCTTTCCTCTGCACGAACGCCTTGTGCAGACTGATGATGTGGCTATGGTTCAGCTTCTGCAGTGCGTCTGCTTCTCTGTAGATTTCTTCGATCTGGTCTGCATGAGTGAGGTAGTGAGAAATATCCATGAACTTGATGGCCACGTCCTCTCCAGTTTCTCTGTTGACTGCATGGTAAACTTTACCGAAGCCTCCTTCGCCAAGAACATCTTTGCGGTCGTAGTCATTAAGGACAGAACTGTAGTCGAAGTCTTCTCCTCGAGATGCGAGGTAGAGTACATCGTGGCTTTTGAGCATATTAAGGTCATCCTCAAAAGTCTCAATGCCCTCTTTATCAAATAATCTACATTTGGGATCATATTTAACCTTGAGTGTTCTTCATGCTTCCATCTTAAACTCTGCGAATGTGAAAATGGAATTATACTCAATAGAAAGTATCTCTTCTCGCCTATCTAAGAAACTAGTCCCATTGAGTCTGAGAACTAAGTAATCAGGTATATTGTCCATATATCTAAAATATTATTTATATTGTACTTATTATCATTTTTCTTTATAAACTAGGGGTTTTGGGGTTTTGGGGTTTTGGGGTTTTGGGG